TATATGATTTTTTAGCATGTTTAATATGTAAGCACTCACGTCACTGAAATCTCTTGGAGTGTGAGAGCTTGTTCTGCAGATTTTCAGCCTTAATTTTTTCCAATCAAACCCACCATGCCAAAGGATCTCCAAATAAAATTTCACAATTGAATTCTAGCAATTCAAATAGCGGGTATCATCTTAGCTAAGTTTTAAGTATGATATTATTTTTGGTATATTTAATAATAAATTAAATAATTTTTTAAAACTCATATATCCATTTTAAAATTTAAATTCTATCAAAAAAATTTAAGTTTTTAACCGTTAGAATGCGAGGACTAATATTTTGGTGTGCAATGCAGATAAAGAGCCTTTGTTTCATGCATCTATCTGCTACTATGTCGTGTAGCACGTTGTTAAGTTTAGTGGAAGTAAGGTAGTAGGGGGGAATTCCATTCTGTAAATCAACGTTAATTAGTCTACATTAATAAATAAAAAAGCCATGAATTAACTAGTCCTCGTTAAAAAAAATATAAAGCAAAATGATGTGATGTTCAAAATACGATTGGAGTTGGAAGTCAATCTCATAATCAATGGTTATACTTTTGCTTTTCAGTTCAAAATGCACAAGCGCATTTTATGGAAGGTTTGTAAATTATACAACTAAAGGTCTCAATCAAAGAGTAAACATATATTTTTTATTTTATCATTAGATGTTTTCTTTTCTTTATTCTTCTAATATGTTAAATGTTAGTAGCTAAGCATAGCAATCAAGCAGATGTTAGTTAGTAGCTAAGCATAGCAATCAAGTAGATGTTTATTTTTTTATTTTTTTATTTTAGGTTGCATAATAAAAAATAATTTTTTATTATTTTTTAACAGTTAAATATAATAAATAGTTTATTAATTATGTGATTTATTTTAATTTAGTTTAGAAATAATTTTTTCTTTCAAATTCATCTATAAATTTTCAATTTTGTTTCAAAATGATTTACTTGATAAACATTCCATTAACTAAATTAACAGAATTCTCCTAAACTTTTTAAAAATGTTAAATCTAGTACATATATTTTTATTTTTTAAAACATTTTGTTTTTGAAATTCAAATTTTTTGTCAAATTTCAAATGTATTAATTAATTAAGATAAAATTTCAATTTACATTAATTAAGATTCTAATTTTAATTTACAATAATCAATATTATAATTTAAAATTTACTATTTCTAAAAAAATTTAATTTTTTTATTAAATATTAATATTTTTAATAAATAA